TCACTGGGCTGTGGGGCGCACTCTGTGGGGTGCTGTCTGTGTGACTGCTCACTGGGCCGTGGGGAGCCCTCTGTGGGGTGCTGTCTGTCTGACTGTCTGCCCTTTGCTCTCTGGGCTGTGGGGAGCCCTCTGTGGGGTGCTGTCTCCATGCACTGAGTGTGGAGGTATGGGAGGAAGGCAGTGGGCAGGCTCACATGGGAACTTGAATGCAGAGATCCTGTAGGAGTTACAAGCAATCTGAGGCAGGCGGTGCCTCCTAAGACAGTTATGTCAACCCCAGGTGGGCCCCCCGGGGTACAGGGTGTGGTGACACGGGTTACTTCCCGTCTTAGCGTCTGACTGTCTCAGGAGGTGCAGAGAGCACATCAGCTGTCACCCAGCTTGTTGCTTCGGTGATCAGCAATGAGGGCCTGTCCTTCAACAGATGAGGGACTGACCAGAAACACCATGACAAACCCTCGGGAGCAGTCTCCCTATCTCTTTAAAATTTTTATTATGGAAAATCTCAGAAGTAGAACAGTGCCTGGGTGCATGGGGCAGGCCCGTGGACGGGTCGCCCAGCCTCACAGCACATCCAGCTCTGCCTCCTCGTCCCCAGCCCCACTCCCTGGAGGTCCATTGGCACGGGCAGTACGTGTTGTTAACAGATCAGGGCGCTCTATTCTGCGTCACCTGTGGTGCTATCGTCATACCCAACAGCACTGACAGCAGTGACGTGTCCTCTGGTACTCAGGCCCATTCGGGTCCGTTTCCCCACGTAGCTCAGAAATGTCCACTGCAGTCCATCTGCTCGAATCAGGCCTGCATGTGGCTCACGTCTGTCGGCTGATGGCTCGTGGTGTCGTCGGAGACGCTCCTCTGTCTCCCACTTTCCTGTTCAGTGAGAGTAGATCTAGAGCCCAGATTAGATTCAGGTTCAGGGTCAGGTGTTTTTTGGTAAGTGACGTCTTCTCTTTGAAGTGAGAACAACACAAGGGTGTTTGCTGTGTATCTTCTAGTTTATGGGTTAATATAAGAAAAAAATAATACTGTAAGTATTAGGTGGGAAAAGACAGTACCTACAAATAGGTTTATCTAAGTGAACAGTTGGAATGCAAAGTTCAACAGGATTGCTAGATACAAGGTTAGTGAAGGTGAAAAATTATACTTAGAAATAAACCTAAGAAAGACACATAAGACATTTGAAGAGCTTTTCCAAAACCGTTGAGAGTGAGTGAAGAAGGACCACGCCCGCGGGAGGAAGTCTGTACAGAAAGCAGTTTCAAAGCAGGTTCCATCAGCGTCAGACAGGACCTTCAGACACCTAACGGGCCACAGAGTTCACCAAGGAGGGTGAGACAGCGCCAGGAATCGTCAAGATGATTTTGAAACGGGAAGACATCACCAAATTGGACGTTACGTTTGTAAAACTGTAGTGATTAAAGGTGCCATCAGTACAGGAAACGAGGCCCGTGGGATGTGCCTGAGGGCCTGACGTTGGCAGGATACACAGCGCAGTGTGGCCGTCATCCAGACTGTGGGTGTGAGGGCTCCGGCGCAGTGACATCAGTAGGGAGGACGGCTCACACCGCTCACATACACGCATGGTTCCAGGTGGAGTCGAGAGTAAAGTCAGAAAATAAGACTCTGAACGGCACTCCGTTGTGAGGATGGGGAGGGTTTCTTAAAGATGGTGCTCAGACAGTGTGAGAAGAGAAGATGGAATAGGCCAGGAGTACCTGAAGGTGCTCAGTGTCAGCCACCAGGGAGGTGCAGGGGACTCTTGGTGCAACCCCTCCCCACCCCCCACCCCTGCAGCGGCCTGGGCACTGACGGACCGCCTTCAGGGGGTGGGGAGGCACCGACTTACAGGTGGCTGAGGGGATCAGGTGCACAGCCACAGAGTTACATACGTGCTCACCCCACGAAGAGTGGTCTGCAGATGAGCCGCAGTCATTTGTGGCTCAGCTATTCGGCGCCTGCGTAACTGACCCCCGTGCCTGGGGTGGGCAGGAGAAGTGTTTGCCCTCGGAGCGGCCCCGTGCGGAACAGAGCGCTATACTGCACCGGGGGAGGGTGTTTCTGCATTCTGCGCTGGGCAAAGGAGCCAGAAAGCTCGCACCACGGGCCCCAGGCACGGGGGGTGCCGGGAGACGCCCAGCTACAGTGACAGCAGGCAGGTCAGGGTGGGCTGGGGACTCGGGCTGGTGGGAGCGCTCTGTAGCGTGGCGGCGGCAGTGGCTCCGTGGGGCACACGTTTCTCAGAACGCATGGAAATAAATACTCGAATGAGTGATGTGAGATCGAAAGCTTGACGTCAGAACTTGTTAATAAAAGCAAGGAGAAAATATTTGCAATATACGTATGGTTAGTGTCTACACTGTGAGAAGAAATCTTAGAAATTGACTGGGTAACATCCAACAGTCTCATGAAGAAGTTGGCAGAGGGTTAGAACAGAGGCTCACGAGGGAGGACCCGGCCTGGCCTCTCAGCCCAGGCAGTCCAGGCTGAAATGCTGGCCTAGCCACCCCACCGCACCCCCTGTTCTTTTTCTCCGCACTTGTCACTGACATGCTGTGCGCACTCGTAGCTGTGTAGTACCTCTTTTCTTTCTTGGTTTATCTCCCCTGGGGTGTCATCTCGGAGAGGGCAGGTTTTGTTCACTGCTGTCTGCATCCCCAGCAACCCGGCTCAGGGCTTGGCACGTGGTGGGCATTCAGTAGTTGATTTTCTGTGTAAAAGGGATTTTTGATCTTGAAGTGAATTCTTTAATGTGGTATTAGTAGTGAGGGCGCCCCTGCAGGGCTGAGATACCTCTCTTGTCTCTTACAGAATGCCAACTCCTGCCCGGTAGACCGGACTGTATTTAAGTGCATTTGCGTGCGAGCCCAGTTTGGTGGGAAAATCTTAAGAAAGGTAAGTGCAGACGCTGCGTCTCAGGTCTGTCATATTGGTGCCGGTCTCATGGGAAATAGTATGCTTTGAAACGTTGATTTCAGGAAGTGAGTATTGATTAAAAATGTTTTAGAGGTCATTGAAAACACGGTAGCCATGAACTTGAAGCCAGAATGGTGAGGCTGGCGCTCAAGCTCCTGGGCCGTCTGCTGGTCCTGTGGCACCCGAGTGAGCTGCTGGGTGTAGACACTGACAGCTTCTCGAACCTCCTCTCAGCTCCCACCCCCCTGGCCTACCTTCTCGAGCTGTGGCGGCCTCCGAGAGAGGGAGGCTTGGAGCCCTGGAGGGGGCGGGGGCAGCGGCCTTTGGACCATGGCCATTTACACTCAGGGCTGGAAATACAGTGGTGACGTGTCTCCTGTGTTTGGAAGATCCTTCAGGGTGTGCTTGTGGTCTTCTGGATACTGGAGGAGGTCAGGGGTGTTTTTGCAGCTAAGCACCTGGGTTTTTGGTTTACAAAGTTGTTGGGGCCCTCCGAGCCCAGATGCTAGGCTCGGGCCTTGGCACACTCAGTTTTTACAGAGGGTTGGACCCTCATGGGTGCGGCCCCAGGTTCCACGGCTCTGGGTCCTGCTGGAAGCGGCAGCCTTGTTTATGCCCCGGGTTCAGTGCCCTTCTCTCTGCAGATCCCAGTGGAGAACACCAGAGCCCCTGAGGCTCAGGAGGAAGATCCCACTTTCTGTGAGGTGTGTGGCCGCAGTGACCGGGAGGACCGTCTCCTCCTTTGTGACGGCTGTGATGCTGGGTAAGCGGGCCATCCTCGGGGGCCGCAGCTCACCGGGCAGTGAGAGCGCCTTGGGGTTGGGGTCCCCTGTCCTGCACTGTAGAGGGGTGGGCGCTGGTCTGTGAATTGCTGAGCCCAGTCTCGTAGAGGATTTTTAACGCACCTGTTAGGGGACCTCTGTCGTGTTCGTGTTCATGAGGACGTGCCGCCCACTGCACGCCCTGAGCGCGGCGCGGCCCACCTCAGCCCCGTGTGGGTGGCTGGGGAGGTGCGGGCGTCTGCCGGTTCTTTGCGTTACTGTGAGGGCAACTTCGCTTTTCTCCAGGAAGTAGTTTGAGGCTCTGCAGAGGCGCTGGGGCTGGAGCCTGGGGCCACGGCCACACTCACAAGCGGCCCCGGCCTCCCGGGCCTCACCCTCACTCCTCGATCCTCGCTTGGCCTCACTGGTTTCTGTCTGACCCCCGCCACTTGCTTAAAGCCCCTTCTGCTAACCTCCTGCAGGTGCTATCCCTGTACCTTTGGAGTGTTTTCTGTTGTAAATCACAGTGAGAAGATGGTGAAAGAACCTTTCTTTCCCTTGGGGTACGGGTCCCCAAAAGCTATTGAAGTCAGTGAAACTGTAGATTTGGAACTTTCTCTTGGGTGGAAAATGACAGTTTAAGGGGGGGCACTGTGCAACAGCCAGAGGTAGGAGGCCTGAGCCATCATGGTGGGGGCTGACCTGGGAGGGACAGGCCCCAACCTGGGGCGGATGGGCCTGGGACGGATGGGCCCCGACCTGGGGCGGATGGGCCTGGGGCGGCTGTGTTCCTGTCCTCCCCCGTGGCTGCTGCAGTTGGCATGTTCTGCTGGTCCCCCAGACCACCCACCTGCTCCCCTGGTCTCTGCCGTTTCTCCTCTGAAGCAGGCAGGGCAATGGCCGGGGGCCGATCTTGCAGGGAGCCTTGCTTGAGGCCTTGGTGGCAGCAGCTGACGCTTGTGAAGCTCTGGGAGGGAGCCTTGGGTGAACCACTTGGATATTTGAAATGCTTAGAATGATGACTTTTTCCTCTTCTTGTTTTTTTTTTTTTTGAGAGAGAGAGAGTGTAAGGAAATGTTTTGTTAGAGTGAAGGTTACTCGGAGTCCTTCAGGACTCTGTGTCCAGCACTACTCCTCTCTCTCTACATGCCTGTCCTCCATTGTCTTGCGGGGGGTCCCAGGGCCTGGGTGTACGGTGTGCAGTGCCTCATAGATGGGGACCTGGGACACAGGCTTCTTTCTTGCTGGCCCTGTGTCCAGCTCTGTGATCTGTGTTTGTTCAGTTGGTTCAGTTTGGGCTCTGATTTTCAGGGACATTTTAGTTTGGCTTTCTTTGCTTATTGATTTTTGCCTAACTTCAGCAGGGGCTCCGTGGGGTGTCTTCTGGTCCACAGCCTTCTTTGGGGCGAGTGGGGGCACAGCTGGCCTGGGCCTTGAGCTGCGCCGCGGGGAGGGGCAGCAGATAGGCTTGCCCCGGCGGCTCTTCCTCCAAGGGCTCTTTGGAGACTTGACAGAAGCGGTTGGAAGGCGTGCCATGGTCAGGCTGTGAGCAGCTGCCTTGTGGCAGACGTTAGCTACTCAGACGTCAGCTGTGGAGGGGTGAGCTGCCATCAGTGGAGACTTCTCGGGGACACGGTGGGGGCCACAGTGGGGTGGGGGTGTGGACCTCGGGTGAGAGCTGAGACTGAGGTGGTCCCCGCTGTGGTCTGTCCTTGGCATCCAGAGTACAGACTTGGGAAGGGTCTACCCGCCTGGCTCTGCTCGGAGGAGTCAGCTCCAGGCCTGAGGGGATCTGCTCACGTGCATCTGTACCTGGCGTGCTCCCGGGCAGTGATCCCCTAGGAGGGCGAGGCCAGGTGGCCTAGGCAGGAGCAGGAGGAAGGATGGCTCAGCCGCCTAGGACGATGTCTCCCATGTGCAGCTCAGGGGGCCTTGGGAGCAGATATGGCCTCTGCTGTCAGCTTCTGGGTAGGGTGCTCTGCAGATTTGGGGCGCATCTGGTTGCAGGTGTTGGGAGTGTGGCTGGGGCGTCTGCTTGGTGTGCCCCCACGCTCTGTGTTCTCTGCCCCTGCAGGTACCACATGGAGTGCCTAGACCCTCCACTACAGGAGGTGCCGGTGGACGAGTGGTTCTGTCCAGAGTGTGCTGCCCCGGGCGGCGGCCCCAGTCCTGGTGAGGCGAGCGGCAGTCCCCGAGGGGCCGCTGGGCAGACTTCCCGGCACCTGCTGTGGCCTCTGTGGCGGGGCTGGAGGAACGTGGTCGTGCACCGCTGGCTGGCAGGGCTGGAGGAAGGCAGTCGTGCACCGCTGGCTGGCCGGGGTCCTCCTCTGGTCAGAAGTGTCCCTGCTCCTGACGATGCCGTAGGATTTTGGGAGGCGGGGCAGGGTGCGCTTCCCGGCAGCCCTCTCCATGGTAGCAGAGCCCCGTGAAAGTGCGGGAGGGTATGGTGTGCGTGTATGTAGCACATAAGTCCCTGGTTTCCCTTTCCTAGACCCGGGTCACGTGAGTGAGGAGGAGGTCACTCTGCTCTTGGCTGATGTGGTGCCCACCACCAGCAGGCTCCGGCCCAGCACAGGCCGGACCCGGGCCATTGCCAGGACACGGCAGAGCGAGCGAGTGAGGGCTACCGTGAACCGGAACCGCATCACCACTGCCAGGAGGATCCAGGTGGGTGCTCTGGTCCCGATTCCCTCGGCACCATCCCCTGCCTGGGCCCAACCCCTGAGCCAGGCTTGTACGAGTACACACACAGTGTATCCCCCATGACGCCGCCCATCAGGGAACGGGGTAGGGGGCGTGTTGGGATATCCCATCCTAACCAGCATGCCGGAAAAGAACAGGCCAGGGCAGGACCACCTCTGAGAAAACGTGGGCCCCGTGGGCTGGGCCACACTGGGCGTGAACACGGAACAGAGTGAGGCCTGAGGATGGGGGCCACAGCCTGCAGCTCCATCCCACCTGCAGCAAGCAGTCACGGGCACCCTGATCAGGCTGGGGGCAGCACCCTGACCTAGCTGGGGCCATGCTCTGATGGGCCACTTGGCTCTGGTCCTGGCTGCCACGTTTGTGGACAGGAAGTGAGAGGAGGGGTACAGTCCGGGCCTGCTGCTCCATGGTGTGCGTGGTGAACTGCAGGGTGGGGTGTGTTCAGGGCTCCAACAAGGGGTCTAGGGTGGTGTCGTCTCTCCCTGGTGTGGCTCTGCTCCAGAGTCCCCACCTGGGGAAAGGCAGGTGGTATAGCAGCCATCACTGTGTGTCCGGGCTGGCCCCCGTGTGCCTCTCCCGTGGCCCTCACTGTCGGGGAGCGCTGCTGCCGGTTCTCACTACGTGTCCCTGACCCAGCCTCCAGCTCTCAGATGGTTTTGCTGCGGGGTCCCGGGTGGTGTGTGGAGGAGGTGGGCCGCCTTGGTGATGGCAGTGTCTCCTCCGCCATGTAGCATGTCCCGAGGTACCTGATGTCTTCTCTGCTTGACGAGACAATCGAAGCCGTCGCCTCTGGTCTGAGTACTGCTGGGTATCAGCGGCCTGTGACTCCGAGAACCCCCGTGAAACGGAGAAGAAAGACGGGTAGGACGGCCTGGCAAGCCCTGGCTGAGTCCCTTGGTGTGTGTCTGGGCCCGACGCCAGCAGACTCGCCACCCACCTGCCGCACTGCTCCTCTGCGGGTCGGCCAGGAATGGCAGCCGGAAGTCCCTCCAGGCCGGCAGGGGAGTCTGCTTATTTCTGAGAATACCCACCTTAGGTGGCTCAGGTGCTGCAGCCAGTGCCCCTCCCAGGGGCCACTTGGGGCCACAGCCTCTGTCCGTAAATGTTCTTGCGCGGTGCCTCGTGCCCTGGTGCTTCTGTTGCTATCAGACATCTAGAAACAGAGCTGGGGGGGGCCAGAAGACGTGGAGGTGTGGGGGGTGTGTGTGTGTTTAATTTAATAGCTATTGCCGGGTTACTTCTCAGCAAGGCAGTGGCAGTTCACGGTCCCGGCAGTACTCTGTCCCCGAGTGCCTGCTTTGCCGCGCCCTCGGAAGCAGAGTTCACGTGACCCTTTGCCGGCCAGGTGTGTGTCCTGCACTTGCAGGTGCAGCCCTCTGCGTCCGTGGGTCAGCTCCACACGCTCCGCGTCCTCACGGGGTCTCCATCTGCTCTCTCAGTTCCTTGGAGCTTTGTGGAGACTCCCCCTGCACTGGGAGGTTTGTCTTTCTGGCTGTATGTGCTCTGGTCGCTCCAGTGCTCCGCGTCATGCAGGCAGTTTTCCTGTGAGTGGCTGCGTGCTCACACCACTTGCCCTCTGAAGTAGATGAGGAGCTAAGACAGAAAGGGAAAGGGCATGGCCTCGTCTCCCAGCCAGGGGCGGGCTGTCGAGCGGCCTCTGCCCTCCTCAGCTGAGCGCCCCGCCCTCCCAAGTGTCACAGCATTGCAGACAGGACTCCCCAGCCCTCTCCTCCTCACTGAGCTGGTTCAGAAACCCCCTCCCTCATCGCTCTGGATGACTTGGGCTCGGGGCTGAGACGGAAATCTTCCTGAAGGAGAAGAGCCACCCTCAGTGAGCATTATCCAACACCAAAGGGCTTTGGAGATTGCGCTTTTGCTGCAGGTTTCTGAATGAATTCAACCCAGAGTTACAAGGCAAGACAGCTCATATGGAAGACTTTACACTGTGGCAAAGTCATTACAAAATGACCAATCACATTGACTGTTTTTGATGCGCTTATTTGCCGTTTGTATACCCTGGTGAAATATGTATTCAGATCTGGGTCACCCTACTGAGTTGTAAGAGTTTTTTATGTATTCTGGATACCGGCCCTGTGTCAGGTATGTGACTTGCAGATCTGCATATTCTCCAGTCCCTAGCTTATGTTTTCACTTTCTTCCTTCATGGTGTCTTTCGAAGTGGCAGAAGTTTTTAATTTTGCTGAAGTCCACTTTCTCATTTTTTCTTGTATGAATCGTGTGTTTGGTGTCCTATCTAAGAACTCTTTGCCTAGCTTAAGATCATAAAAATTTTCTCCTATGTTTTCTTCTAAAATGTTAATAGTTTTACATTCAGGCCTATGATCCCTTTTGATTTAATTTTTGTGTATGGTATGAGCTGCTGTTAGGTGCCATCAGGTTGGTTCTGATTCATAGTGACCTGGTGTAAAACAAGGAAACATGGCCGGGTCCCGCGCCATCCATGCTGGGCGCTGAGGGTCTGAGTTTATCTTCTTCACGTGGAGACCCGCTTGTAGCGCCATGTGTTAGCAGACTGTCCTTTGCTCGCTGCCTCGGTAGGTTTGTCAAAACCAGTCGTCCGTAACTGTAAAGGGGTATTCATGAGCTGTTGCTTCTGTTCCATCGATCCGTGTCTCCTTGTGTCGGTACCAGACTGTCTTCATTACTGGAGCTTTATGAAGTTTTGAAATGGAGAAGTGTAAGTACTCTAACTTTGTTCTTTTTAAATCAGAATTATTTGGCTAGTCTGGGTCGTTTGGATGTCTGTATAAATTTCAGAACCAGCTTCTCTTTCTGCAAAATATAGCCTGCTGGGATTTTGATAGGAATTGCATCGAATCTGGAGCCCTGGGGGCGCAGTGGTTAAATGTTCGGTTGCTAACCTAAAGGTCAGCAGTTGGAATCCACCCGCTGCTCCTTGGAAACCCTGGGGGCAGTACTACTCTGTCCTGTAGGGTCGCTGGGAGTCGGAATTGACTTGGCAGCAGTGGGTTTGGTTGCGTTGCGTCTACGCGTCAGTGTGAGAATTGCCTTTTTCACAGTTATGGAGTCTTCAGTGCACAGACACGGACTGTCTCACAAATTATTTAGATCTTTGATTTATCTTAGTAGTCTTCTGTAGTTTCCAGAGTGTGTGCTACACTTCTTTTGTTAAAATTATTCCAAAGTATCCTATTCTTTTTGATGCTATTGTGCATGGAATTGTTATCTTAATTTCGTTTTCGAATTGTTTCACTGCTAGTGTATAGAAGTACAATTGATTTTTGTAAATTTATTTTTTATCCTGCTACCTTGTTGAATTAGTTTTATTAGTTCTAGTAATTTCTTTGTGGGTTCCTTAGAATTTTCCACAAATAGGCATGTCATCTGTGAATAAAAAATAATTTGTTACTTCTTTTCCAGTCTGACTCTCTCTCTCTCTTTTTTGTTTTATGGCACTAGCTGGAACTTCCAGCACAATGTTGAATAGAAGTGGCGACGAGAGTGAACATCCTTGTCTTGTTCTTGATCTTAGAGGAAAGCGTTCAGTCTTTCCCCACTAAGTGTGATGTTAGCTGTAGATATTTTATAGATAACCTTTTTCCAGGTTGAAGTGGTTCCCTTTATTCCTAGTTTGTTGAGAGTTTTTATTATGAATGTGTGTTGGATTTTGTCCAGTGTTTTTTCTGTATCTGTTGAGATGATATGTAACTCCTGTCCTCTTTTTTATTAATATGGTGTTACATATTTGCCTTTCAGATGTTAAACCAACCTTGCATTTCTGAAAATAATTCTTGGTCGTGGTATATAATCCTTTTTATGTGTTTCTGTATTCGGTTTGCTAATGTTTTATTGAGAATTTTTGCATCTGTATTCATGAGGGATATTTGTCCGTAGTTTTCTGTGGTAACTTTGTCTGGCATTGGTAACACAGGCCTTCCAAAACGAGTTGAGAAGTGTCCTCTCCACCTCTAGTCTGAACGCTTTGTGGAAGGGTTGCTGACTTTTCTCTCTAAATGTTTGGAAGAGTCCACCAGTGAAGCCCTGTTGGGAAGAGTTCAAATTAACTAATTCAGTCTTTGTTTAATTCAGTCCAGGTTTTCTAATCCTTTTTGTGTCAGTTTTGGTGGTTTTTTTTTACATTTGGGAATTTGTCCATTTCATCTAAGCTATTTTATTTGTTGGCATAAAGTTGTTGATAGTATTCTCTTACAATTCTTTTGTTTTCTGTAATTTAGTAGTGATTTCCCTCCCCTCTTTCATTCTTGATTTTGGTAACCTACATCTTTTTTTTCCTTGGTTAGTCTACCTAAAGAGTTGTTCAGACCTTTTCGAAGAACTTTTTGTTTTTATCTTATCACAGTCTACTTTAGATTAATATTAACTCTGATAACATTTGGAAACTTGGCTCCATCCTTTGTGTTGTGCCATCCAGATTACGTTTTTATATATTATCAATCAAACAGTACAGTTTTTCTGCTGTCTTTTACACTCATGTATGAGATAACCTTCACCATGATCCTTATTTCTTCATGTGGATTCTCTGGATGGTCTTTTTCCCCTTTGCCTGATGGACTTCTCTCTGGTCTTTCTTGTAGGGCAGATCTGCCGACAGTGAAGTCGCTCAGTCTTTGTTTATTTGGGAGTTTCATTCTGCTGTCAGCTCTGAAGGGTAATTTCACTGAGTGCGGGACTCTTGGTTGGCGTTTTTCTCTTCCAGCACTTTGAGTATCCTGCCCACTGCCTTCTGCCCTCTGTTGTTCCTGATCAGAAATCAGCTGTCAGTCTTACTGTGGTTTCCTGGTTTTTTCTTGCTACTCAAGGTCTTCTTTTTGCCCTGGGCTCTCCGTAGTTTGCCCAGAGCGCCCTGGGCTCCCGCCCTGCTCATCACAGATGTGCCACTCCCTGCTCTCCCTCTTTTCTGTCAGTAGTTTCTCGTCTTTTCTCTTTTTGTTCTTTGAAGAAAGCCGAGTCCTTTGCTTGGTAGGGTTCCCAAATCCTTGTGGATTTGGCTGTTTTTATCCCACGTCATGTTTAGCTGTCCCTCCGTCCTCGCGTTTTCTGTTGGGCGGGAGTGGAATCCAGAGGCTTGCTCAGACCCCCGACGGCTGGATGCAGCCCAGGTCTCACTGCAGTGATGCTGCTGGTCTGGGCAGGGCCCTCCGGAGGCCCCCCACTATGGGTTTGTGACGGTGGCAGCTGTTTGTGTGTCTTCCCTAGAACCCGTAGTTCACTGGGGGTACAGAAGAGCAGCCCTTGTATCTGTCGCCCCTTACCCGTCAGCTGTGGCACTTACAGGAGAGCCGCGTGGATCCTTGAGGATTGCTTTGCTCACCAGTTTGCACACAACGCGTCGGCGCCCTGCTGGTCTCCAGAAGCGGACAGTGGGTTTCTTTCTGTCGTTGGCGTCGTTGTGAGTTGGGCAGCACCTGTGCGCCACCTGCGATGGCCTGGGCAGGAGCACGTCCCGTCGGCTCCTGAGTCCTTCAGACGCCACGCTGAATGCAATTAAATATCCAGTGTTCAGATTTCCCAGATGGTCTGCAGGTTTTTTTCTCTGTCAGGTTACCCAGGAACTAAATGAAGTCCTGTGTTGTGAATGGCTGGTAACTCTCAGTCTTTAGCTTCCTTGCCATCTTTTTTTTCTTCCCAGCAGTTGATTTATTGAAGAAACGGGGTCGTTTGTCTTCTAGGCCTTTCTGCTGTCTGGAGTTTATTGAGTGTATCCCTGTGGTGTCTTTTTTTAATTGCTTTTGTTTTTAACCTTAAATCTTGTAGTACGTGTTTCCTAAGAACGTGGACGTTCTCTTACATTGTCACTGTTCAGTCATCAGACTTGGGGAGTTGAACTGTGGTAAAATGCTGTGGTCTAAGCCAGAGTCCACATCAGTTGTAGTCCTCCAGTCTAGGACTCTCCTTAGGCTGACGCGTTGCATTTAGTTCTCTGGTCGCTTTAGCCCCCTTGAACCTGGAATAATGTTTCCTGCAGCCTTTCTTTGTGTTCTGTGGGACCTCTGGTTGTAGGAGGGCCCTCAGCTTGGGTCTGTCTGGAGTTTCCTCTTTCTTAAATTCAGGCAGGAACACCCCTGAGGCGCCCTGTCCTCAGAACATCCTATCTGGTGGCTTGAGGTGCTTTTCACAACATTGGTGGTTTTGTCTTTGACCGCATGGTTCCCCACTGCAAAGCTGCTCTTCTTCTCTTGTAACTAACAAGTCACTGGAGAGGTGCGAGAACTGAGACCTCGTACGTCCTGTTCTTCACTACGCTCCCCTTGGGTTTACATCCACAGGTGATAGGGTCTGTTGTTTCTTCTCTGTTTTTTAGTTGACATTCTGCTCTAAGAAGAGCTCTTCCTCTCCCCCACGATTGTTTATTTTTAATTTTTGTTGTTGTTGTTGAGAATATACACAGCAGAACATACACCAGTTCCACGGTTTCTACGTACAATTTAGTGACATCGATTACATTCTTTGAGTTGTGCGTCCATTCTCGCCATCCTTTTCTGAGCTGTTCTCCCACTATTAACATAACCTCACTGCCCCCTAAGGTTCCTGTCTAATCTTCTGCCTTGCTCTTGTCACCGTGATCCCTTGTAGATAGTTCTTAAAAGAGAACAGTGCTCAAGGCAGACATTCTTTACTAGTTAGGGAACCTATTTCATTTTAAGAAAACTTAAGGGAATATTTTTGGTTTAAGGTTTAAAGGTTATCTCAGGGCGATAGTTTCAGAGGTTCATCCAGCCTCCATGGCTCCAGAAAGTCTGGAGTCCATAAGAAATCTGAAGTTTTGTTCTGCATTTTCTTCCTTTTGATCAGGATTCTTCTATAGAATTTTTGATCAAAATGTTCAGTAATAATAGCCGGGCAGCATCCATTTCTTCTGGTCTCATGGCAAAGGAGGCAGTTGTTCATGGAAGCAGTTAGCCACACATTCCATTTCCTCCTCCTATTCCTGACTCTCCTTCTTCCTCTGTTGCTCCTGGATTGATTCCCCTGCGATTATTTAAGGCATGTGGGCTCATGGATTCTTAGCTTATTCAGTGGGTTTTACCTGTGGTCTTTTAAAAATCAATTTCATTGAGTTTTCGTTTCATATACAATGAAATGAGTGCACCCATTCAGAGTGTATGGTTCAAGGATTGACAAATGTATACACACTTTTGATAAATGTAGCTGCACCCACCCAGTGTGTAGAACACTTAGCTCACCCTCAGGAGCCCCTCTTGCCCTTCCCACTCGACCCCTCACCAGGCAGACACCAGTGATGTCAGTTGTCACTGCACGTTAGCTTCGCCTGTTCTCAGCCTCCACGTAACGAGGTTTATAAGGTCCTGATGCGTGTGCTCGTGTGTTGCTTTTTCTGCTCAGCACAGTGTTTCTGGGCTCTTTCTGTGCAGCCCTGCGTGTCTGTAGTTAATTTCTGTTCGTCTCTGAGTAATATTCCATTGTGTGGTTGTGCATTTACCTGCAGTGGGCGTTCGGGTTGTTCTCAGTTTGGTGCTGTTAAGAGTCAAGCGACTGTGCACGTCACACAAGTGTTTTTAATGTGTTCTGTCCCCGGGTCTCCTGAAAAGGAGTAGCTTTGGGAGCTTTCTTGCTCTTTGGTGTGGTGTGCTGCTCCAGGCTGGCTTCTGCCTCACAGGAGCCTCTGACGCGCAGTCGGCCATTTTCCCTAGAGGCCCTCGCTCGCTGGGTGAGAAACCCTCTCTGGAGACCAGCCTCCGAGCACTCACTGCTGACGGCCTTTTCAGGGGCAGAGCCAGGATATACTTGCTTTTTTTTTTTTAATTCAGATACGTTATAGGGTCATACTGATACTTCTAGTTAAAATTCAGGATTATAGAGCTTTACTTAGCTTTTTATCTTAACTCTGATCTCCTTTCTCTCATGTCAGAAATCCCAGTACTCAGCACTGATCAGCATAATCACACATTCGTTTCATCCCAGTTACACAGACGACATCTCAGAAGAGTAGCGATGTGACTAGAGATAGCAGTTTAGGATTGTTTCCCTTTGTCCCTAAATTATATCTGTCCCTTGGGGATGTGAGTCAAATTGCTTGTTGTCAGGTAGCTTGGAATAGTTCCGCTGTTTGGCTATGCCTCGTTTGTTTTATCTTGCTTGAGTTTTTTTTTTTTTATTTTTTTGCTTTGTTTTGCTTTTCTTGTAAATTTTACACTTTTTGTACACACGCTTCACTTGTAGTAGACATGCCGCACTCCTGGTAGACGTACATCCAACGTGCGTAGGTAGAAGAACCTTGTAATCCAAGTGTCCAGTGTATCGCCCAGCTCTGGCGACTCACAGCCAGTCGTGTTTGCTCCCCTTCCTCCCTCCGTCCCGTGTTAGACTCCAAAGCAGATCCTTCACATCATCATTACTCCATCTGTAAATATTTTAGAACATTCTTGAAAGTGGAAGGAGGCTTTTTTTAAAACATAGCCACAATACCATTGTTATTTATACCTAAGAAATGGACAATAATTCCTTAATATCATAAATATCCAGTCAGTGTTCATATTACTAATTATACTATAAACATGATAGAATTTTTTAAAATAGCTTATTTGGATCAAGATCCGCACCAGACCCATACTTCGATGGGCAGCGTGTCTGGTGCTTTTGGACGTGCAGGCTCTCTAGGTGCCCTTTCTTTCCTGCACTTCATTCGTGGCAGAATCCAGGCTGGGTGTCCTGCGGGGTCCTCGGTCAGGTTCTGTGAGCTGCCCCCGCCGTCCAGGCTGGGTGTCCCTCTGCCGTTTGTACGTGGGCACTTGGAGCTCAGAGGCTTGCCCGAGTTCAGGTGGGAGTTGGGTTTTGTCTCTGTGAGATGCTCCGATGGGACAGTGTTTGCTGTCCGGGAGTGTGGTGTCTGGTGGGCCATCTGAGGACAGCAGTGAGATTGTTGTGCAGTCAGGACGCCCGGCCATTATCCCTTTTTTTAGCTGGGAAATACCCTTGCTGCTCTGTGCTCGCGGTTTGTGGACAAAGCAGGAGAAAGCCTGTGTGCGTCCTTCCCTGCCCGCCTTCCAGGTGGTGGGGCCGCGGGTCGCATCCCCGGTGGAGGTCAGGTGTGGTGCTGACGTTGTCAGGGGTTGGTGTGGGTTTAATGGTAGCAGGCGTCGTGAGTTCTCATCTCCTGTCTTAGCTGACAGCGCTCATCTCCCACGTGGCAGTTCCTGTGTCCGGGCGCGCCGGGGGATTACTGCAGTGTGCTCTGGCCTCCCCCGGCCCACGCAGCACCAGCTTGGCGGCTGGTCAGGAGGAGACACAGGGTGGGCAGGTTGTTGGTTTGTTTCATTGTTTCAACGTTTAGGGTCTATTTTACTAGAAACCGTTTATTTACTTTAAAGTCTCTCTGAGGATTTCTTCCCTGTGTGGCTGCACTACCAGCTGGACAGAGCTAGGCTTACACTTTCAGTTATCAAGGTTTGTTTTTTCTAATTCAGTTTTGCTTCATAATTTTGAAAACTACCTCATGGTCCCAAAAGTGAAATCTGCAAAACAGGGTGTATAGAACACACGAGTCAGTACATGCGCGTGTCAGCCCACGTCCCCGGGCATCACTGTGTGCACGCGTGAGTCCCGTCCCCCCGCGCCTGTGCGTGCACGCGTGAGTCCCGTCCCCCCGCGCCTGTGCGTGCACGCGTGAGTCCCGTCCCCCC